GGGAAGGGAAGGAGGATCGGCATTGCGAAGAGCGAGGAAAATAGGGATCGCGGGGAAGGGGACGAGGAGGATCGGGATCTGAAGGGGGAATCCCAAGCAGGCTGTGGACCTCACCCGACTTCGAACAGTACTACCGTCTTCCGCCGAATAGAACGTCCGGTCATTATTGCAGTATGTGGACTGAAAGTTGCCCCAAGTACAGGCATAATGACCGTACATTCTATTCGGGAGAAGAAGGTGTGTGTGTGTTACGGGTGTGTGGGTATGTGGGTGTGTGTGGGTGTGTGTGGGTGTGTGGGTGTGTGGACGAGCGGGCGTGTGCGCGTGCGTGCGCGTGCGTGCGCGTGTGGACGAGCGGGCGTGTGCGCGTGCGCGCGCGTGTGGGCAGGCAGGCGGGCGGGGGGCTGGACTTGTGTGTGTGTGTGTGTGTGTGCACGCGTGCGTGCGTGGGTGGGTTCCCGCGAAATCGCAAACGACAACGCACACAAGGAACTTGGGATTTTTTTTTCTTACGTTCAATATCTTGACATCTTGCTAAGATTTGTATGTACGATGGGTCTTGAGCTTCTTTATGGCCTGAACGACATTCATGCCCTTGGTCACTCTTCCACACAACAAACTTCGTTTTTGCCTTACTACTTTTTTTGTTTTCCTTACGTTCAATATCTGAAATCTTGAAAAGGTTTGTCCGTCCGATCCGTCTTGACCTTCTCTATGGCCTGCACGACAGCCATGCCCTTGGTCGCTTTTCCACAGTTGTCTTCTCTCTCTCTCTCTCTCTCTCTCTCTCTCTCTCTCTCTCTCTCTCTCTCTCTCTCTCTCTCTCTCTCTCTATTTTTGTCATCCTGTGTCATCGGATGGCCGTCGGAACAGAACAAAAGCTTACTCACAAATGAGGGGTCGAAATTTGTCCTTCGTGGAGTCCCCCGAGACTCGGAGGCTCCATTCGCGCAAAGTAGAAAGCTTACTGACCAAGGAACTTTGCAATCCACCGAAAATAACGACGTGCACTCAGTGCAGCTGTTCCGTCTTTCCTTGCCCGTGGCTTTGTACACCTGAATGCATTCCTCTGTGTGTGTGTGTGTGTGTGTGTGTGTGTGTGTGTGTGAGAGAGAGAGAGAGAGAGAGAGAGAGAGCATAGTCAACAAAGCAACCTTTCTTATTTTGTTTGACTCTTTGTCGTTTTGCCTAACCACCATCTTCCCCCGAACACAACGCACCCTAATTTTGGCGGTACCTGATTGGAAATTTGGCTTCGGTACGTTCATTCTGAGGGTACCTGATGTTCGGAGGAAGAAGGTATCCACGCCATACACATACAAACACAGCAATAAAGACAGACAGAAAGAAAGAAAGAGAGAGAGAGAGAGAGAAGGAGAGAGAGAGAGAGAGAGAGAGAGAGAGAGAGAGAGAGAGAGAGAGAGAGAGAGAAGAGAGAAACACAACGGGCCCGGACACAACGCATCCCGATTTTGTCACCGTCTTCCCCGAGCACAACACACCCTCGTTTTTTTTTTTTGTTTTTCTTCTTTTTGAGCTGCTATGACCATGGTTGTCAGCTTTGTTACATCCTGCAAAAGGACCTGTGATGAACACACCACACTCCGCCACCATGGTTATGCATGTGGTACTCTACTACTCATGATGATGATGATGATGATGATAGCGCCTTTATGAGAGAGCCCTCCCTTCCCGGCCCCCAACCGTAAGCGAGCTGTGGGAAAACTCCGTGGAGAGAGGAGGACCTCAAAAGGCTCGACCACACACAGGTAGCTTGCCTGCCTGCCTGCCAAATGCAATTTGCTTTTCAGAACAGCAAAAAAATCTCTCTCACTGCAAAGTCTGCTTCTCTGCGCTTGCGATGTCTGCGCTTACGATGTCTGCGCTTGCGATGTCTGCGCTTACATCGACAGAGCGACAGCAGTGATCTGTGTTTCCTCTTCTTCCCCTCTGGTCTTCTTGTCCTCTTCACTTCCGTACTACATCCATTAACTTCTGCTTGGGTAACTGATCTGTCCTACACACACCCAATCTGCCGAAGACGGTGAACAAAATAACTTCCCCATTCGGTTTTGTTCTCGAGTCTTCACCACACCCCATGGACTGATCCAATTTGGGTAATTTACTTTTTTTTTTTTTTTTTTTTTTTTGGTCTGAATTTACTAATTTCCTCCGTCACTGCAGTCGGGGTAATTGCAAGTTATTGAGCCTTTCAAGGGCCAGGATCAAAGCCTGAGTGCCAAGATGTCCTTCTCCATGCGCCTTCAGAGAGACGTACAGCTGTTGCGCCAGAGCCAGACCTGGCAGGGAAAGGTTCATCTTCTGGCTTTCTTCCAGGGCGATTCCCAGATCTTTCACAAAATGATTGACAAAAAATCCTGGGTCCAAGTCACGTTTCTGAATGCGAGAGGCATAGAGGTCTAGCGATCTGGACCCTGCGGCTCCACCTGCAATTGCCTGCAAGAACACTGTCACATCGAGGCCTGCCCGATGAGCATACAGCATCCCCTCTACCAGTCCCACCATCGTCGACGCAATTGTCACTTGGTTTGCGAGTTTGCAGCTCTGTCCACATCCCGCCCCTCCTAAGTACGTGACCTTCCCCATGCACGCGAACAGGGGTTCCAAAGCCATCACCACTTCTCGCCCACCCCCTGCCATTATTGCCAGGGTGCCCGCTTTAGCACCCTTGTCACCCCCTGACACAGGCGCATCCACAGCAAAACACCCTCGCTTCCGTGCTTCTTCAGCGATCGTCCTAGCCAAAGTTGGCTCGCTGGTGGTCATGTCCACTACCACCCCCCCCGGCTGCAGCCCTTTCAAAACACCCCTTGCGCCCAGTACTACTTCCCTAACGTCGCTTGGGTACCCAACGATTGTGAAAACAACATCGCTCCTCTCTGCCACCGCTTCAGGACTGTCGACGACTGCAGCACCTTTAGCCCTGAGCGCCTCTGCCTTGCTTATTGTCCTGTTATACACCGTTGCCTGAAATCCCTTGTCCAGGAGATGACCACACATGGCTTGTCCCATCACACCCGTTCCTATCCATCCGACACGTGTCACTCCGGGGGTGGCGATGGCTGGAAAGCCACCCCCAATCCTCTGCTCATCTCCCATAATTGTCTCTCGTCGGGAAGTTTCCTCTCTCTCTCTCTCTCTTGACTCCTCCACAAAAAATTGGTAATGCAGCCTGAAGAACGACGGCCTACCGTCCCACCCCGTGTACTTGGTCCTCGAACTGTGCCGTTGCTTCGCTGAGTGTTCACTCAGAGGATTTACACCCCATGAGGTCCGCAGACTGGCGGATACGCTGCTCCTCTTCGAGAAGCGTACACATGTCAGCCGCCGACCGCGATCCAAACAAAGGCAAGGCCCGTTGAACGCGCCGGAAAGCGCATCCCACGCAGCCGCTGTTTGATATTTTTTTCACACCCTCGTTTTTGCTATATACCTCAACAGAAATATGTATGGCATGGGCCACGCTACCGGTAGGGGGCGCCTCCAGCGGCGCTGTTTTGCATTCGCCGACTGTTGCGCCGTCGTCCCAACTCAGCCTACCGGTAGCGCTGTTTCGGCCGGCCCGTCGAGTGGTACCGTGCCGCCATGGCACGCAGTTACCGCGGTGGAAGCGGTTCGCTAGGGTTTCCCCAGAGCGGCGAGAGTAACTCTCGTTCACCTCGTTCCGCCGGACGCCCATAGCATGACCCACTGGATAACTCCACAGTAATTATGATTTTACCCAGGCACCGAGGTGCATCATAACCGGTCCTGGTATTGCTGACCCAGGTTTCGTACCTCTCTAGACGCGAGTTCGCCTTGCATCTGGAGCAGAGATGGGGACTCGTGTACAGAGCAGCCCCTGATATCAGAAGAGGGACAGAGAGCAGTCCATACTACTGGAACGGAGGACGATAGTTGTCAGTAACCCCCCATCGCCTAAACGACCAACCCTACTTCGACCTCTCCTGTTTAGGAGGATAGGTGTGTTGATGCCGAATGGGGTATCCCGATAGCACCTCGCACTCACCCCACTGTGGGTCGTAGAGAACTTGAATAGCCTACCTCGCACTCACCCCACTGTGGGTCGTAGAGAACTTGAATAGCCTGAGGTACAGCCGCGGCTCGATAAGAAGGTTGCAGTAATTAATGGGGTTAGGTCAGAATAGGATGTCTCGTTGGTAAAAACAAGAGCGAATAGGAGGGCAGTAACCCACCATCCCATCAACGAATCCCACCCTGCTTTTCTGGATCAATAGCTTGCGAGAACCGTAGTAGATAGATGAGGTTGTTTTTATTCTTGCCTCTGCTGAGCTTTGGGACGCAGAGAATTCAAATGGATGGAAGGTAACCACCTTAGGGATAACGGGTAGCCTTCCTCGGATAGTGTTCCATAACCAAGTCGGATAGCGGGTACGGTATTCACGCAACTCAGGCAACATACCAAATCAGTGTACCAAATCAATTGTCTATTAGTACTCGGTAACATACACACAGTCGGCGGATGCTCGTCGGTAAACCAATATCGAGTCGTGGCTGGGCATTCAGCACACCTCAAGTGCTTACCCACATGATAGGCCCGTACCCACGAGCACACTCCAAGTTGCTAGAACTCAACTCACAGCTGGGGAGCGTTTGTCCATAGTTGATATGTGCAAGGTGTGTCTCCATAGGATATGTGCATGCTAGCAATGTAGGCAGCCGCTCCTATTCACCTCAAAACCGCCCCGTACGCCACTCTCTCTGGAAGTAAATGTGTCGGATTTGCATATGTTCGTTCATCCCTACTCTCCCCTAACGCGTGTGGTCGATATCGCGGGGAAATTCACTGCTCTACACTCCTAAGCTACGGAACAACATTTATACCAGCATTCGTCATACCGACCAGATTGGATATTTACACATGGATAATTACGCGTGAGTGCCAGGGGTAGTGCAACCCCTTAGTTAATATGGCAGACTCGAAAGAAGGCCCAATAGAGCTTGAAATGGAAGACCACGCCTTATCGAGAGGGCGCTCTCCCCCAGGTGCGTCGGGAGCTCCGGAAGACTCATTTGATGAAAGGGTTAGACAGCTGATCACTCTGTGCTACGACGAAGGGATCATGCCTGAAAACGCTCCCTTCGAAGATGTAACCATTGAAGGCAATTAAGTTGTCATCAGAATGAACGAAGAAGTCAATGAAATTAAGATCAGATGGTTGATGGAACGAACAGTTGTCATTCTGCTTAGGGATACGGCCCGTGATCTCCCGAGAAAAGTGAAAGAGGATCTGGTACGGGCATACGAGAATGGATGGAGAAGGGATGAGATTTTTGACCCACCTGTAGACAGGGGAAGAGTAAAATTTGAAGGAGAAAATATGATCTCCTAGTATGTGTCAAAATACAAGGTTGTAGCAGAATGGATGGTGAGCGAAGGAGAAGGGTCAGTAAACCTCAGGGGAAGAGACTACTACTTCGAAATGAAACCTTGGATGACTAGAGCGGATTGGAGAGAATTTTGTAGGGCCGAGGAGGAAAGCACATTTTGGGTAATGGGATTGCAAGTGTCGTTAGACTCCTATGCTTACTTCAGAGCAGCGCTAGCCAATGTAATTGGCCCGGTGACTCGAGAATTCCCCCCAGATCGTTTTGGTGCAGACCCAAAATTGACCAATGTTAAATGTGAACTCAATCCTAGATGTCGATCGAGGTTCGTCAACAAAATTTGGGTTCGTTTGGGACAAGGAGATATGTCGAAAATAAAATTGGTCTCATCATTCACACCATACTGCACTAAGTGCGGATGGTATTTCCACATGGCTGACGAATGCACCAGACGAAACAATTGTGACAAGAATCAAAGGGGCAATCGTAACCAAGGAAGAGGAGTTGACGAGGAGGAGGATCTGCGGTCGATCCGCAACAAGCCCCACAGAGGGAGAGCTAGACATGGTAGAGCTTCTGCTCGTTAGCAAGGGAAGCTACGCCCCCCGATACCTCACGCGTCACCCACACGTAGTGGGGGTTCTTATCACTCGCCATCACCGCTTCCAAGGGGCAAAATTCATAGCATGCGTACCCGTTCGAACCCTGTCTTCTCACTGGGAGTCGAGCATAGAGCAGGTTCATACCCGTTAGCACACCCATATGGGAACAACCCCCTTCCCCCTGACCCACAATCCGTCTCGCACCTCCAAATTCACGATGGCACCCCCGCATATCATGACGGCCAACTGCCAGGACTGGTTTACGTTGCAGCCATGCTACAGGAGGAATAACTCTTTCCCCCATGCACGTAACTGCCCCTGGTGCAACGTCTGGCCGACATCGGATACACAGAAGAGGAGATTTCATCATCAATATTGGTCTCATTTCATAGAACCGCTAGGGGTCAATCACCTTTGAAAGCAGCCAGGATTCTGAGATCGAGAGCAGCCAACACACCCAAATGGAAGAATGACACTAGGGCAATAGCCCAATGCAAGAAGGTTTGAGAGCCTCATTGGCCAATGTTGCTGGTTCATCGCCCTCAGCTCATTCGGAAAATTACCAAACTTTATCGTTGCCAGGCTCCAAAACGACACGCAGTAGGAGAATGGTCACAACTGCACGAGGGCAGACATCTAGTCTGAAGAAATGGTTAATGTCAATAATATGTACAATCACAAATGGAAACATTCACATCATTGTTTGGCAACCAGACGGGGGGAAGATCACCTTCCCAACATAGTCGGTAGAGGAGCAAGTAACGCCACAGGTGACTATCCCAGCTGCATAATCACTGCACAAGGACCGTTTCCCAATCAGGCGTGTACCAGACATGGTCATGCTAAGGTTTTACCTGGACGCACAGAATAGGTGCCATAAAATCTTCACCCCAATACTAGACATGTGCATCTCGCCAGACAGACTGGACACTCTCATGGCAGATGGTTCGCAGTTAATCCCACTTTCAGTCTTCTATGACGAGGATAAAGACTATTTGCAACAGTATAGGCTCAAGGGCATCAAACGGCCAGGCCAGATCCGCTCTCTACATCAACTCAAGGGTACAGGGGGTTATATTAAATGGATAACCTAACCATTGTGTCGTGGAAACTTAGAGGGTTGGGGAAATACATCCAAAAGAGGTAAGCGGGCACGGTTAACTGGTGAGACGGACCTCAGATTTGGTCCCCCACAATAGAAACCAGGGGGGGAGTGGGCATCCTCATCCACAGGGATCTTCCGGTCGAAATTGTGGATTATGGTTCAGACCTGTGAGGTCGTTGGGCTTGGGTGAAACTGTCGATGAGGGGGGGGGAAATCATTGGGCTGTTATGACGGTGTACGCACCAGTGGATAGAACCAAGCGTTACGAGTTCTTCGAAGATCTTATATCCCACTCTCCAGACGTAGACAACCTATTGATCACAGAAGATTGAAACTGTTCACTGAACGACATCCACTTTTCCTCCTCTGCCACTCCAGATGTCCTAGCATTGACGGAATACATGCTTGACTTGGAACCGTGACTGTGTGACGCCTATAGGATCATGCATCCCTTTTCAATGGGATACACTTGGTGCTCCGCGGCAGCAAAGGAAGGTTTTGCAGGCCCATTCAGAAGGCTAGACTACTTCCTAGTCAGCCCGACTTGGTGGGATAATGCCCTTAAACCACTAGTACCTCCGCACCTATTTTCGACAAGTACTGGTCTACCTCCGAACTTTCAGGAGGCCGAGCCCACCGTTGATAAATCCGATCGGCGGTCGCCGTTTCGTTTCGGCCTTCTGAAAGGTCGGAGGCTGAGTATTTTCGAACCGACAAAGGTACTAGTGGTTTAACGTTGAAGTGAAGACGAACCCAATGTCGAACCACTTCCCTGTGAAAGCGGTCTTCATACTAGTTGATGCTATAGACCGTGGCAAGAGATTTTTTCGTCTAAACACGGCATCTCAAAAACCCTGGGATAGCAAAATGGATCGACGCCTTCTTTGAGAAATGGTCTGATGCTCAGAAACACTTCACCTCAATAGGATAATGGTGGGATGAAAGCACCGCGATTGCGTTCAATTTCTTGAACATTTTTTTCAAGGATCTTAGCAGCGGAATATCGGAAAGAGGAACAAAATATTATCACGGACCTAGACTGGGTAGAAGACGGAACGCAACTACACCCAATGTCGACTTCTGTTTGAGCGGCAGAACGGGCAACACTGATACATGAGTGGAATGACCTGAAGCAAAGGAAGTCGGATGATGGGCAGAGAGACTTTCCATAAAAGGAATCACCATGTACGATTGCATGACAAAGGAATCTTTTCAGCACCTACTAACGAAAATGGCC